CCTTTCCCATCCGCTGCCTGTGTTCTTGTGACTCCCTTCTCCAATTCTGCCTTTTTTCCTACCTTGTTTTTAAAGGCCGTTGGTTTCCCTCGATTCTGGATCTGCCCGACCCCGAATTATTCTGCTTTATCACTGCTCCCTACGTCGCACAAGCGCAGACGACGGAGAATTACTACGTCACCAAGGATCCAGCGCCGAAATCTAGATTACCATCCGGGTCGATCACTCACTCCAGCGTGCGGCAGTAACATCGATCCTTGCGAACTTCGCGACTTGATCTTCTCCCGTATTTGCGGTCACAGATCGTCAATATGACCAAGCCAACAAAGCCCAAGTTGCCCGCGAAGCAGCTGGCCATTCTGGGTAAGACGCCCCGGCTTTTCAAAACTTGTTACTGCGATTGCTTTTAACTACATTTGATCTACAAATGCGAATCCGCGCAACAACACCTAGTGCCGGGCAAGTGCCTTTACATAGCCAAGGAAGCAGGCACATCGCGGCGTCTGGGATCACACAAGAGAAAATATTTGGAGCAATACGAGGAAGCGTTTACACAAGAGTCGAGAGCGCATGGGGCCGGTTGGGAAATTCACGTCTTGTCGCCCGAAGCCGCCTGTCCTTTAGCCACGCATTTACATCCCTAAGCCTACCATATCTTACTTTCGAATGCGACGTGGAAAATGGTCCTGGTCTTCCGAGCTGCCTGATCAATGTGAACCGACCGAGGTCGAGACTTCATACACCAAGCCCAAGGCGGTTGGCATGTCACTGCTGCAGATTACACCTTGCGCCCGACGTCATATGCATCGCGAAACCTTCATTCGAGGTGTCCGCCAACCTAGTCCGTCTTCTGCATCGCTAACAGTCCCGTGTAGCCGTCGCTCGCTTTGCCGAACCGCTCGCCTTGACCTCCGTCTTCCCGTACCTCCCAGAGATGATCAAAAGTTTCGGAGTAGAACAGAACGATGTTGCGAGATGGGCCGGCATCACATCCGCCGTCTTCTCCTTGGCTCAGAGCTGTACTGCAGTCCCGTGGGGTAGAGCATCCGATCGTTTTGGCAGGAAACCGACAATCATTGTTGGTCTGCTCTCGACCATGGTATTCTTCGTTGTCTGGGGAATGTCAACCAGCCTGCCCATGGCGATTACTGTTCGCGCTATCTTGGGCAGTGGTAACGGTAATGGTAAGCATACCCAACTGTTTCGATCACCAGTCACGACTCAGCTAACATGCGCATTCAGTCGGAATCATCCGCACAATGGTAGCAGAAATGGTCCCCGAAAAAGAGCTACAGCCCCGAGCCTTCTCCATCATGCCTCTGGTCTGGTCAGTCGGTTCCATCTTCGGCCCCGCCTTCGGTGGCTTCTTCGCTAAGCCCGCCGACCGATTTCCCTCGATCTTCGGCGACAGCTGGTTCTTCACGACTTACCCCTTTGCCCTGCCGAACCTCCTCGCTGCCGTTTTCTTCCTCCTTTCCGTTACGAACGCGACCCTTTTCCTGAAAGAGACTCTCGAGAGCAAGCGCCATGAGCCCGACTGGGGCCTGGCTTTGGGCGAACGCCTCACTCGTCCATTCCGTCGCACTCGCCACTACCACCGCGCAAACACCCGCGCTCGCCGCGCCTCTTTCGTCGACGGCGAGGCTACTGCGCCGCTTGTGCCTACCAAGCTCAACCCACCCGCGCATCCGCTCGAGGACAACAAGCAACCCTTGGAGGCACCCAGCATGAAGGAGGTGTTCACCGCGCAGACGACTATCAACCTTATCTGCTACACTTTCCTCGCTCTCCACTCCGTCGCTTACGACCAGGTCCTTCCGGTATTCCTCAACTACCCTGTTGTCGAGCATACGCCAGAGAATACCCACCTGCCCTTCCAGTTCTCTGGCGGCTTCGGTCTTGGCTCAGACCGCATTGGCACCATCTTCACAATCTATGGCATCACCTGCGGTGTGATTCAGTTCTTCGTTTTCCCGCCGCTGTGCAACTACTTTGGTGTCCTTCGCTGCTTCCGCGCATGCGGTATGTATAATTTCCTCTCGCTTGCATAAATGCCAATGCTGATATCTCGCGCAGCTCTGACTTTCCCCGTCGTCTACATCCTGACTCCCTTCACCGTCCTTTTCGAGACGACCTTTAGCCGCTACGCCGCGCTTATGGTCGTGATGTTCACAAAGGCATTCGCAGTCATCATCGGTTTCCCCTGCATGACGATCCTCCTCACGAATTCCGCCTCCTCCCTTCGCATCCTCGGCACCCTCAACGGCTTCGCGACGATGTTTTCCGGCTTCGGCCGCGCCTTTGGTCCCGCCGCCGCCGGTGCTGCGTTCTCCTGGGGCGTCGGCAAGGGCTACGTCATCACCTCCTGGTGGTTCCTCGCCGTCACCGCCATCATCGGCGCCGTGCCCATCTACATGCTCGTTGATAGCGATGCTCTCACGCAGTCGCCTGACACCAGCGACGACGAAGAGAGCACCGATGACGACGACGACACGATCACAAGCACCTCGAGCGGAGAGGCGTCTGGAAGCGGGCGGGAGACGGAGCCGTTATTGGCGAGGAACGGATCGGCTGGGTATGATTCCGTCAGCACCCCGGCCCGCTCATGAGTCTTCTGCATTTCAGCACCGTCTTGCATGGTTTTCTATGAGCGAGTCTTGCAAATAATGCATATACGAGGGTACGAGATACGGCTGACTTTAATGTTTTGAATCGGCTATCTCTCGACACATTTCCGAATTTTCCATATTGACAGCATTTGTTGTTGTCTTGGTTTGGGCCAAAGTTTGTTCATTGCAGGCGCTCAGCATTGCGGGCCGCTCATGGGTTGTTATTCAGGTATCAAAAAGCATTGTTTATGGGGTTTTCATTCATACGCATCGATCATCTATAGATGTGCACAGTTTCAGCTGATTAATATTACAAACATTTCAATGAATTGGGTCTCTCCCCTTCTGCTTGATGTGATTTTGGTAGTGGCGATGATTCAATGAGTGGGATGTCACGCCCAACGTCTGGTTTGCGCAGTTGCGGATTCGAAACAATTGACCGTACCCAGCGAGTGATGTCCAATATGACGTGTATTGGCCGGTAAGTCAAACCACGAATTCATGGATGCAGCCAGCTCAATCAACCCAGTCTCAGCTTATTAATGAGGTATCCTGCGATAGCTTGTCTGGGAACTGCATATCTGGAGCAACGAAATGTACACAAGCCATTGGTCTCTCTGTCTTGTCTGACCACGGCATGGCTTGTTTAGTCAAACTCCAATGGATAAGTTTACTTTACACACATACATATGACCCTGATGAGGTATTCTTAAGGGTGCCGCAGCGGCCACGCATCGCCAGTCGGTATCTCATCCGACTATATGCAACTAAGACGAAGCTGTTGTCAGACCTGGGCGGCCCCGGTCTCTTGTACGGTCTTCGTGCGGACGTTTTTTTTCCCTATTTCTTTTTTTCAGTTGACGTCCGTAGGGCTTTCGGTGAGACTTCTTAATCAAGTAATTAAGCATAGCGGCTAAGTGATTCACCATTTAAAAGTCAGGTCATGACTTTGTATGATTTCATGCTCGGTAATGTAGAATCGGCAAACAATGGCCAACCTGAATGCCTTGCAGTCAGTGAGGTCCGGGTACCTCATCGATGCCGAGCCACTTACAGACGGCCCCACCCGCTGCCGTCCACATCCCGGCGGTGGAACCACGGGTCGCGTTCCAGTGCCGCAGATTGTGGATAAGGAAACCGCATTTCAACATTCAACCCCCCTTTGAAGTTAAGCCAAGGCGCAAACCTCGTCATTGCACAAGCTCGACAGCAAAACACCTTCTCAACTCGGGCCTGACGCCCCCAAAGTCATGATGTCCTTTTCGTCGGAAGAGGAAGACCAAGTCCTCTCAGACACCCAATCCATCGCGTCAGAATCCAGCGACGGCGAGGAATTGCCCCCGCGGCCGCTGCATCACAACTACTTCGCGCCACCCTTCTACGGCCGTCCGCCGACTCCCTTGCCGCCCTCGCCATCACTGACATCGCTCCTGCGTCCCTCGCGACCGACAACCCCCGATGCATCCGACGACGACTTCGAGCCCGTCCCCCGCGCATCGCCGCAGGTCCCGACTTACGAATACTACGGCTTCGTGCTGTACCTCTTCTCGACGCTGACTTTCATCGTCTACTTGCTGTGGTCCTACCTGCCGTCGCCGTTCCTGCACGCACTGGGGATCTACTACTACCCGAATCGATGGTGGTCGCTGGCGATACCGGCGTTTCTGACCATGTTGGGGGTTTACATCTACATTGCGCTGGCTCTCTACAACGTCGAGATCATGACGTTACCGCTCAATTCTCTCGAGACGGTGGTGGACGACGCATCCAAGGTCGGCGTGATCGACAGCAAAGGGCGGCTAAGGGACGGCCAGGCCAAGAGAAGGTCGCGAGACAAGAGGGATAACAGGCTGCCTGGTGGAGGGCTGAATTGGAAGAATATCTGGAACGAGGGGACGGATGCCGTAATGGACATCCCGCTAGCAGGTGCCTGCGAGGTGCTTTATGGAGAAGGGAGAGATTTCGAGTCAGAAGATGAGTACATCGTTACCTGAGGCTGACATCCGGGACGTGAGGATTTATGACACATTGAATAAGATACCCTTTGATGCAAGCTTAAAGCCATGTTCTTCACTTAAAATATTCGTGATCATTTTGCCTGCATATCAGCGCATTTGGTATCGATCAAGAGTCCCTGAAAAATGTGGAACGTTCTGTCCTCGATCACTGCTCGGTGAGAAGCTCCACACCGAGAGCTTGTACAGTGTGTCGCGCTACGACACGGTGGGGTGTGGCTGAAATCTCAGCCTTGCAGCTTCACCCAACCACGCCAAATTTCGACCACGACGCGACCTTCAACCAGGCGCAGCATCGCAACAACCCACCACACCGCTCCCGAATCATCTCAATCATCTCGGTGGCTTGTCGCATCACATCTCCGACTCGATCAAAATGTCGCAACAGCCATTGTCCTCGTCGGTGCAGCCGACTGACATCTACGGTGGAGGTGAGCTAGCAGCGGAACCCCGTCCCGTGGCCGCCTTGCGCGCGCGTTGTTACCGTGTCTAACTGTCGTGCAATAGATGAGGTCTCCGCCTTGGTTCTCGACCCAGGATACTGCAGCACTCGCGCTGGCTTCGCAGGCGAGGATGTCCCCAAGTCTGTGTTTCCGTCGTTCTACGGCCGTGTCGGTTCCAACGATCCCCCGACCGACGTATTTGGCGACGAGTGCCTCATCCCCCGCGCCGACTTCGAGGTCCGCAACTACATGAACAAGGACAGCGTCGTTGAGGACTGGGATGTGGCCAACAAGATCTGGGAGCACATGCTCATCACTCGCCTCCAACCCGCGCGTCCTACACCTCCTTCTAAGAACGGCCTTAACGACGACCCTAAGACGGAAGCCGAGGGAGGCGAGGCCAATGGAGATGTTGATGTCGCCATGGAGGATGCCGAGACTCAGGAGAAGGCTCTGCAGGAGAACCCTCTTTTGATGACTGAGGCGCCTTGGAACTCGGCTAAGTCCAGAGAGAAGGCCATCGAGATCATCATGGAGAACTGGGGCTGCCCTGCCTTCTGGCTGAGCCGAACGCCTGTCTTGGCTGCCTTTGCTGCCGGAAAGGCCAGCGCTCTCGTCATCGATGTCGGTGGCGCCAACACCTCCGTCACGGCCATCCACGACGGTATGGTTCTGAAGAGATCCATCCAGAAGTCCCCTGTCGGCGGTCTGTGGCTGTCTTCGCAGATCCGTAGCCTCTGGGAGACATCAGAGCCCAAGATCGACCCCGTCCCTACGTTCCTCGTCGAGAACAAGACTCCCGTTGACGCGGGTGCACTCCCCCAGTTCAAGCAGCGCCAGTTCGGTTTCAGCATTACTGACTCGTTCCGCACTTACGAGGAGGAGCGACTGCTCACCGAGTTCAAGGAGTCCGTCGTCGAGACTTGGCGCGGTCCCGGCAAGTACGCCGTCCCCCAGAACGAGGAGCTTGCCAAGCTCCAACCCGGCCGCGTCTTTGAGTTTCCCAACGGCGCCAACCAGATGTGGCGCGAACAGCGGTACAAGGTCTCGGAGGGTATGTGGGACGAGACGGCAGCGTTCCCGACGGCGAACGAGGAGCTGCGCCTTAACAAGAGCCAGACCATCCCCGAGCTCATCCGCGCGGCGCTCAATGCCGTTGATGTCGACCTGCGCCCTAACCTGCTGGGCAACATCGTCGTCACCGGCAGCACCAGCTTGCTGAACGGCTTCAATGATCGTCTCAACAACGAGCTGACGACCATGTACCCGGGCCTGAAGATCAAGATCCACGCTGCGGGTCTGTCCAGCGAGCGCCGCTTCGGTGCCTGGATCGGTGGCAGTATCTTGGCCAGCTTGGGCACGTTCCACCAGATGTGGATCTCGCGTAAGGAGTACGAGGAGAACGGTGTGAGCATTGTCGAGAAGCGCTGCAAGTAAATGCTTGCTGCCGGTGCCTTGGAATCTCCTGAGTTAAAGGGACGGAAAGCAGGAGTCTGGCGGGGTGATTCAATTCGTTCGCGTTACCTAAGACGGCGTATGGAGTTTTGCGATAAAATTATGGTCTTTTCTGAGTTATCAGAGAAGGTAGGGCGTCAAAAGATTACGCATCGTCATGGTTGTGGATGGAAGCAGTGTCCATGAGTGTGAGCCGCCGAACAGGCTAGATAGTTATTAAGGAATACACAAAAGTGTCAACCAAGCTGTCTCGCGGTATTGTGAGGATTTCCCCTCGCTTTCTGATGCTCTTGACCCTGGATAGGCTTTCGGAAGGGATATCGTGTAGCGTTCCCAAACAATTGGAGGGACGTGGGGACGATATGGGCTCATTTTTCCACGCTTGAGCGTATGCTTGCGATTGAATTCAACATCCAAGGCTTGAATCACGGGATAGTCCATTCATCCACTATTCAGGCGTACACTTCTTCAGGTCGTTGGTGAAATTGGATTGACATTCAGACCGGAAGGAAGTCTTGGTGGCTTTAGATATACGAGATGTTATTTCCATAGTTGTGCAAGAGTTTTCTTTTTGCGTGCATTGTACACCCGCTCCATCGTTGGAAACAACCTGAAAGGTAGCTTCACTCAGTTATAAGGTACTTAAGCAATGAGGCTGAATAGATCATGTCAACGAAGCCAAGGAAGTTTGTTCTTGACTCTACCAAACATATCTCAAACCAACAAGGTGCGAAACTTGGGCGCTATTCTCACGTCAAGGTACCTTATGGTAGGTAGGTATTATGAGCCTGCTTCTTTCCTGACGCAGGTTTTCCAGTGTACCTCAGGCAGGCACTATCGCGATGGGAGCTCCTTCCCAAGTTTTGATCACTAACTCTAGCCTCCTACCTACTATAAAAGGACCTCAAACTTCTACCCTTTGCAACCACTTGGCTACCTTCTGGTTGAACCACAATGCGCCTTTCAACATTGCCATCTTCGTCATTCCTCCTTCTTGGGCCGTACCTCTGAGCACACATTTTATGGTCTTGGAACAGACATTTTTGGCCTGCATAACTTTCTAACCCACAGGTCTGTGGTACTACAGCTCCTGCCTCAAAGTATTTACATCCCGAGGCATCACGAAGTCAAGAATTCCTTGATCGATTTTAGGTATGACAGCCCCCGCCAGTGGTCTCGACTGGGGTAGAAACGGCAGGCACGGACCACAAACGATGGCTGCCTTCGCGGAAGCTGGCTGATTGGCTGACATTTTCCGCCTCAGGCACCCCTGCAGAAATCGCACCTGAGTCACCCAAATTTCTGCGGCTCTACGTGAACTTTCCCTCCTGCTTCCCCAGAGCCGACCGACGCGTCGCCCCATCGACCTGACGAGCTTCCCCCCGACCGAACGCTGCCGCCATCGCATCAGCAACCACATCGCGAGGCATGGTATAGACCCGGAACCCGTCGGCGCACAATATCGGAGGTGCCAGAGGGGAGATATTTGTGCCAACATCGACATCATGAGCGACGAACCCCCCAAGTCACCCCCGTCTCCGGACAACGGGGACCCCAAGTCCCAAAAGGACCTGGAGGCTCAGGACGACGAGCAAATTTCGCGCACGCTCAGCCAGCTTCAACAAGGAGGAGATTTGGGCTTTAGCTTGGATGAGCCATTCGACCAGTCCGGCAAAGCAGACGATGCGGAGGATTACGAGGATATTAGCGACGATGACCTGCCCGAGGAAGAGGAAGGCGAAGCCAACCCCGCGACTTCCCTATCCACCGTACCAGGTTTGACGGACGATGGAGGCACGAGCAACGATACAGACGACCTCTTTGGCGATGGACCTTCATCTCCAATGGAAATACCCGGCCCGCCATCACCAGCGCCTCACGTTCACGATCCCGACAACGCCGATGCGTCGCAGTACCGAGACATCAACTTCGACCCCGAGCCTGGCTATGAGGCCGCTAACCAAGACCCGGATATTCCCGCGCCGGCAGAGACAGTTGAAGATTTGGTCAAGCAGGCGTGGCCAACATGGCAGAAGGGTGTCATCCTGAAATGGAACGAACTCCTCCCCCCGAAGAAGGCCCGATGGATCGAGAAGAAGCCGACCAAGAAGCCCAAGACTTTGATATTCTCAAAGTTGACTTTGGATCTTGCGGCCGATCAGGAGAAGCTTTTCCGCATCCCAGGCACTGCCGCTGCGACAAGGAAGCAGAAGCGTATCGACGATGACACCAGGGGATTAGTGACATGCACGCAGCAGGAATCGTCTGACGAAGCCGAGGCTGAAGAGTTCAACCTCGAACAGGACTCAGACTCCGAGGCGGTCGCCGGCTTTACTCTGCAGGACATCGAGATGGTTTGCGACGACTGGGCTGGCCGCATTGAGCAGGCAGAGCACGACTTTCAGAAGCAACGAGACCAAGAAGCCGCCGCCCATGCAGCAGAAGCAGCATCCCTCAAGCGCGCCCACGACGATGCGTTTGACTTTGACTGGGAGGAGTTCATGGATGACGAAGAGACCAAGCCGCCGCCACTAAAAAAGACACGCCCGCCGCCGCCCAAGGGTCTTCCGGAAATTCCACGCTTTACTGCACCCTCATTCGACTCATTTGAGGATGTGACAAAGCGCTCTTCTAAACGAGTTATTCTGGACTTGAACGATCCTTACCTCCTCCTCGAGGAAGCCGAGTCGCAACGTGGTCCCAAACGCCAGCGGGTTGAGCAGAAGCTCACACGCATGGCCAACGGTCATCTTCGACCCGACCTCTCTCAACGGTTCAATATGTCAAACGACGATGCGTATGAGGCTCTCAAGGAGAATCATCAGCACAAGGTCAGAGCAACTCTTGGCAATCTTCAGGTGGAACACAGTATGCCTGCGCTCAAGCTGGCATGGCCCTTCTACAAGGTCAAGCTGGACATCCGCAGAGATGGTTACCATCGTCCTTACTTCAAGTTCGGTAAGCACGAGCGCCAGGTGATCAGGTTCAGCAAGCTCGGCTTCCACAAGCGCAAGCAAATGAAAGGCAAGGCCCATGAAGTTTTCCGCACCACCAAGGACCTGGGCATCACAGACAACTCGACAGCCGTGTTGTTCGAGTACTGCGAACGCACACCTCCCGTCCTGTCCAATTTCGGTATGGGCAATAGAGTCATCAACTACTACCGGAAAAAGAAGGTCGATGATGAGGAGGCCCCGCCCAAGATGGAAATTGGTGAATCCCATATTCTCCTGCCCGAGGACAGGTCGCCCTTTGCAATCTTCGGCGAGGTGGAAGTTGGCCAGACAATGCCTACCTTGCACAACCAGATGTACAGGGCACCCATCTTCAAGCACAAGCCGCGCTCAACCGACTTTCTCTGCGTTCGGAGCTCAACAGGCGTGGATGGATCTAACTGGTACCTTCACAAAATTGACCATCTTTACGTCGTTGGACAGACATTCCCTAGTGTGGAAGTTCCGGGGCCCCACAGCAGAAAGGTCACCAACGCTTCGAAGAACAGAATCAAGATGATCTCTTATCGCATGATGAGGCGGAACGAGCACAGCCTTGTCAATCTTTCCGAAGTCACAAAGCATATTGCAGACTCGACCGATGCCCAGAACCGACAAAAGCTGAAGGAATTTTTGGTATATGCCAAAGTCGAGAAGGGTCTCTGGGGTCTTAGACCAGGAGAAACACTGATGGACGAAAATGGCATCAGAGCCATGATCAGGCCCGAGGATGTTTGCTTGATTGATGGCATGCAGTTGGGCATGCAGATGCTGGAAGACGCCGGGTTTGATCCTAACAATGTCAACTTGGAGGACGATAACGACGAGCCTGCCGAGGAAGACGATGACGAGCGCACCGGCAAGGGCGGCAAGAAGGCTGCCGAGAAGAACGAAGAGAAGCTCGCGGACAAGATGGCACCTTGGAAGACCAGCAAGGCCTTTATCGACGCGTGCGCTGGCAAAGCTATGCTCAAGCTCCATGGCCAAGGTGACCCAACAGGACATGGTCTTGGTTTCAGCTTTATCAGAACCTCGATGAAGGGAGGTTACCTCGAGACTGTTCAGAAGGGTGGATCCCACACAACGGCGGCTGATGCCATGGCCGCTCATCCCGATGCTATGCGCAAAGCGAACAACGGCCATGCCTACAACGTCAAAGAGCAAGAAGCCATGTACAAGAAAGGCATCCGCGAAATCTGGGAAAAGCAGAAGGCCAACCTCGAAGATGGCACCCAAAAAGACGACGACCTCGTGGTCCCACCGCCGGCGGATGAAGACGACCGCTTTTACCCTCAAAGGGCCCAGACCCCTGCTCATGTCGACGAAGGCATGAGTCAAATCACCGGATTGACGACCTCAACAAGTCGGAACCAGCGAAAGCGACTCAAGATTACCCGTGAAGTTCTCAATGAGGCAGGTGCTGTTGAGCAGAAAACTGTCATTATTGAAGACCCTGTTATAATAGACCGATACATCAAGAGAAAGAAGGAACTGGAGTTGGAGGACTTCAAGTACGGCTTCCCATCACGCTTCCCCCCTCTCGACCCCATATCAGGTCTATTATTCAATCTTCATGCGATCCCTGCTTACATTTACGTGCCTCTAGCATCTACGAAGGAAGACCGACCGGAGTCGCTGACGACGATCATCGCCGACTGGTCGAGTAAGGAGTACCCTTCCGTAGATGCTGAGCACTTGATTGACGTCCTAGCAGAATTAATAAGGAGCTCGAACGGCTCAACCGAAACAAACAACGACGAATCGGACGAGAGCAACAAAAAGGACTCCACCGATCAAAGTCCGGCCTCGACGCTGGCTCACCCGAAGCAGACAGAGCGGCCACGGGCACAACCCGCAAGTGTGCCAATTGTGGACAGGTCGGCCACATCAAAACCAACAAAAAGTATTGCCCTCGCTGTTCTTCAAAGTCATCCCCGCCCAACATCAGATCTGCGGAGCCTCTTCAGGACTGGGGCAAGGCGGTTCAAG